GCGAGCTCAGTAGCGGCCCGGCTGCGCGGGCTCGGCGAGCTCGGGCGCCCGCGCCAGTTGCACCAGTCGCAGCAGCAAGGCCCCGGCGGGCGCGTCCAGCCGCGTGGCGTTGCTCCCGTCGCTGGCGCGGCACTCGGGCTGGGCCACGCAGCTCTCTGCCGGGAGGACGGTGTGAGCGCGGGAGCCTGGGATGGGCGCAGCTCCGGGGTCTCACTGCACCCGCCTTCCTGCCCCGCCCGGGTCCCGTCCCTCCCAGAACGCCCCCAACCCGGCCAGTCCCAGCCCCCCAGCCCCGCTCTCACCGGTGTCGCAGCAGAAGCCGGCGGCGGTGCAGCGACCCCCGCTCCCGCAGGGCTTCGTGCCGGACTGGCAGGGCGTCGGCAGGTAGTTCTCCTGCTGGCAGCGCAGCGCCTCGGCCGTGCCCACGAAGCAGCCCAGCTCGTCCGCGCAGCAGATGCTGGGCCCGAAGCAGCGCCCTTCTTCCCCGGGGCCGCAGGGGAGGCACTGCGGGGACCGGCGGGGTGAGCGGGAGGAGGCGGCAGCCCAGGGAGGGGCTTAGGGGGACCACGCGAGGCCGGGGGCGGTGTGGGGGCAGGGATGCTGGGGTCCGGGCTCGCGACTGTGGCGGGACACAGGCGCTGCAGGGGGCGCTGTCTGAGCCTCGACCGCGGTCAAGGCCAGGAGTCAAAATCTACTCAAGTCCTTATGTTTTCGGGGGACTGAGGACCAACTGTCAGTAATAGCCCTCTGCATCCTCAGCCTGGGCCGCCGGACGGGTCTCCCATGGGCTCAGCTTGGGGACCCTCCTCCTCAGCTCTGGGACTAGCACCGGTGCCACTTTTGGGCTGCCCACCACCCTCCCCTAGTCCAGACCTTCCTCCTGCCCCTATCACTCCTGCTTGGTCCCTAGTTCATCCACCCCACCCTGCTCCCCCCCGCGGAGGGCCCCTGGAACCCCCAGTACATCCAGGCCCTTCCTCCCATTTCCGGCTCCCTCTCTTGCCTTGTCCTTGGCCCCCCACCAGCCCCGGCCAGTGGGCCTCAATTTGGGCTCAGACCCCCTGCTCACCTGCCTGTGACCTACCAGGTGGGTGCAGGGGCCTGAGCCCAACAGGGGGGCATGGACACTAGGTGCCTCAGGCCTCCAGGGAGCTAAGCAGAGGGAAGGTAGGCTGTAGGGGTTGCCCACCTGGCCACTCTCGTTGGTTCAGCAGCTCAAAATTGACCCTGGCAGAATTGCACATACCGATTGGATTTCCTTCAGCTCTGCTCAAAATGCAATAAACACCCGGCACAAAAGAAGAGGGATAGGCCGGGCGGTGGCTCACACCTGTCATCCTAGCACTCTGGGAGGCCAAGGCCAAAGGATCACATGAGGTCGAGTTCAAGACCAGCCTAAGCAAGAGTGAGACCCTGTCTCTACCAAATATGGAAAAAATTAGCTGAGCATCATGTCTTGAGCCTGTAGTCTCAGCTATTAGGAAGGCTGAAGCAGGAGGATCACATGAGCCCAGGAGTTTGAGGTTGCAGTGAGACAATGATGCCATTGCACTCTACCTGGGGTGACAGAATGAGACTCTGTCTCAAAAAAAAAAAAGAGAGAGAATAGGGATAGGTACCCAGCAGAACTTCCTTAAAGAATGCCTGGGTAGCACCCATCACTCAGGTGAGCTCAGAGCAATGGCCTTCTAGGGCTGTGGGCACCAGTGCCTGTGGCTGGGAGAGGCTGGGGCTGGATGGGGGAGGCCTGAAATGCTGGTGGGACAGACATCGGACATGCCAGCCCATCTCCATGACGGGACCCATGGGCACAGGGGAGCCCTCAGCACCCACTTCTCCCTGATCTAGACCCAAGCCCAGTTACAGGAGAACTATCTCTCACTCTCTGCATCCCCTGTCTGGATCGGGACAGTGTCCGGAGCCCCTTCAGCCCCTCCTAGCCTGCCCAGCAACCTGGTCCCC